TTTGTCATAAATAGAGTGGACATTATGCAAGTTGTTCTTCCGTAACATGTTCTTCAATGTCTTGTTCTGAACCACGATCTTGATCCTCTACTGTTGTACAGAAGAATCACCAAGGAGTAATGACAGAGCAAAACTTGCTTCCACAAAAACGACCAGAATGCAAAAAAGAATGGTAAAATATGCTTATAATCAGCAAACAACAATTCATTTGCTAGAAAAAAATTGTTTGGTCTTAGTTTTCGTGCATTACCGTACGAATCATTTTATGCATCGATACGTAAATTATACTTCTGGGTATTACCGTTACAATTATTTTGTGGAATATATGCAAAAAATAAATAGATCATTAGCTGGATTCGAACATAAGTATAGAAGTACATTTCTCAACGATAGCTGCTTCAAGCTCTTCACTCACATTTCATGACCTTTCCGCCAAAAATACGATCATAGCTTATCAGCCAACTCCTCATATCTCATGTTTTATTGGTGATAAGTTTTCCCATATTTGCAAATTTTATTCTCTCTACACCAACAGAACTTTCTTTTTGTTCAAATTTTTTTGCCCTCCCAAGAATGTCCAAGCGAATCAAGAAAGTGGGTATAACCGGTAAGTTCGGCGTACGTTACGGATCATCCCTAAGAAAGCGTGCCAAGATATGTATGGACCAGAAGAAGAGGAAGTACGAGTGTCCTTTCTGTGGAAAGAGCAACGTTAGATGGCAGGCTATTGGACTATGGAAGTGCAAGAGTTGTGAAAAGGTAATGAGTGGGGGAGGGTATACGTTTGAGACACCTCTGCACTGCACCATCAAGCAGACTCTGTCTAGAACCGAGTAAAGCTGCCGTTTTTATGATTTCTTGTTTGTGTGTTACCCGTTGTGGTTCTTTGTACCTCATGTTTATATCCACTACCGGTTTAAGGTATTTTTTACATTCTTTGTTCGTTTTGATGCGTCAATCATTTTTTTGTGCATGGTGCGTTCCTGTAGGAGGGTTACATGCTTGGTTTGCGTGTTAAGATCGCCGCTCTAATCGCGGTAAACACCCTTCTGTTGTGTTGAGGTTGCGGGTCAGTGTTTGCGATTCCGCTATGAACCACGGGACAGTGATCATGTTAGTTCCAGCGTAGTGCACTTTTTGAATGACTTTCCACGTGAGGTGATAAATAAACGATTCTTAACAAAGGAGGCGCATGTCTGGATTGACCATGGAATTGAAGCGTTCCGATAAATCTCTCAGTGATGTGTTACCATTCATAACATACATGCCACATATTGCATGTGGTACTTTCGCTGCAGCCTTGCCCCATGTGATCGTTACTTTTATCTCATTCAGGCACCTTAAATGCACTGTGTGCACCACAAGATGGCGGACTTCCCTAAAACGCAATAAAAACGGATGCATTCATCCATGCAGGATGCAACATTCGTCGATAATTTTGTTTCGTTAGTTGTTGAGCATGGTGATACGCATAATTATCGCCTACCATACGAAAAAAAACACGTTAAGTATTGAACACATGGCAACGAAGAAACAAATCTGTCTCTTGTCATAGGAATGCTTAGATCCCTGCCATATCTAAGATTGAGGTGGCCGTAAGTAGCGTGTTGTTGCAAGATATAGACAGATTTGTACGTGTTCTTTGGTAATACGATGTAAAAATCTTTAGGTCATCCATGATGGGGAACAAAGTGCGCGCTTCTCACAAATAATTGTTTTCACGTTGTTGAATGCCTGCTCATTTCATCGTTCACTACAAATTACAATCTTGTTCTGCTATTCATTCCCGCGTGACAGCCGCCTCGCAACAACAAACACACGTAACAGAAAGAAAAGATAGCAATTTCGTAATTTGCTTGTGATATGCTGTGTAGTCAAACTGCTGTTCTCTCTGCCTTTACTCCTCTTCAAATGCTCTGTTGCAATACGGCATTCTGCTCTTTTCTGCCGTGCACGGTTTGTTGTGATATTTTTATCTGCGAAACACGCATCCCCACGAAATAATCACTTCATGTTTCAACTTAAAAAATAAAAGCGAAATATTCTTGCTCATCCATGCTGCGCATCTGTCTATTCGTGATTCTTTGCTTTTCAACACATCGTGAGGTGAACACCCGCATAGAGCTCTTTGCCAATCAGGATCCGAGCTTCCTCCTCGTCAACAAGATGTACCCCACGATGCCGCTTACAATCTTTGAAACCGACAAGGAACAGGAAATATTCCTTCCTGTTGGTCTGTCAGAAATATCTGAAAGCGCGCTTTCCTTCCAGCTGTTCCACTCGTACTACGAAGGCCTGCACAAGAACTTCTACTTTGAATGGAACGGTGATAAACGAACACGTGTGTTGCCAGAAGGTGATTATCTGCAGGCTCGTCGTGGTCGTAAGAACATTCTGACCGGCATGACAGCGCATCCCATCCATAACTCATTGTTCATCAAGATAATGTACAACGGAAAGTGTCTTGAGGCGTTGAAAACAAAAAGCCGGTACAGAGATGCACACCCCCTGCGATTTGTTGATTGTGCAGACTCAAATTATCAGCGATTCAAGTTCGTCAGTCATGCAAAGGCTGTATGCATACTGGGACTAGAAGAGTGCACGCACAGAAACGAGGACATTTTCAGGGCAGAAGAGGTGTTGAGGAGCAGAGTGCATCACTTCATAATCAACAAGTGAGCATGAGTGGTTCAAAGGATGTGTTTGTGGATGCTAATATGAGTGACAATCAACCGATCTGATGAGAATGGTTGTTGTGGTGTGAGAGCCGGTCGCTTTGCGAAGTACTGTGGTATTGGCGAATTGATGGTCATTGTTCAAGAGCGAGCTGAAAAGAACAGCACTTATGATCCGGTAGAATGCCGAGCAAAGTATGATCCGTGATTAAATCTTTTTGATGTGTTCAAACTCTGTATGTACATTGCTTGCAGCTCGGTACAGACATTCTCATCAATTTTACTATGAAATAACGGACTGATTGTGCTGCTTGCGGTCCACTTATTCGTGACCATACGGTGGCACTCTACACGAAGAAACGGTGTGCGATAACAAAGACAGAATTTTTGTGGTAATCCGGAGTAAACACCGTTCTTATGCACCTTTGCAATCCTTGTTCATTTCCGCATCACTCTTTAAAGTGTGTTGCTTCGCTTGAGCTGCGTTGAACGGTGCACGTTTGTATATATGCACGCCTTTCACTCCATCTCGTACGTAAAAGACTATGAACAGTGGTGTCCACGAAACGGATTATAACCATGGTCTAGGCACTAATGCCAAATACTGCTTGTGGATAGGTGTTGATTAGAGCATACCGATCCAGTTAGAAAGCAATTGTGAACAAATACTCGCTTTGGCACAATAAATCTATCTAAAAAGTGGTGTGCATCAAAATGCCGTAGTCCAATGTTAGCCGCGCGTTTTACGTTTTAGGGCATAAATGATTAGCAAATGCAAACAAAAACGATATCAACGTGGGATAGTGCACAGCCATCAACGTTGTTTCACAGTAATTACGTAGCAGCGAATGAGCATGATGATTAATTTAGGTGGCACATCACACGGTGATGTGCTTGGGAATGGAAACGAGCAGCTCACTTGGCTGTCTTTGCGAACGGAACATGTATACCTCAAATTTGATTGTTGCAGAAATATTTGCTTGTTCTGTTAGGTGTAAAATGGAAATACGACCCAGGTGTCAGGTCATTTATAAACATTAATTTGTGTGGATATTAAGGACAATATAATTTGATTGTTGTGCAGTAATTCTCATATCATAGGAAAGCACCTGCACCCTTCTTTTGTGGACCGTTCTCCTGATATTTTTATTTTTTGCCAAGAAGCGTTGACACGATCAGATCAATCCTTGTGTCGAAGCAATTAATTATTCTGTGGTGCACTGTTTCATGTTTTGTGCTCCTGAGAATCAGATTAGCATATATTAAGCATGAGTTGCGTAAGAAAATGCTTTAGACCTGCTTATGATCGGAAGAACACGAATGGCATGTTAAACGAGTGATTCTTTGTATGAAAGGATCGATTGGTTGTACGTTTGGGGATGCACAGCATGTATAATTTGTGATGAGCATGCTGCATGGGTGAATGTGATTGAGGTTTGCTGAGCGTGTTAAGTGTGATGAACATTACGGCAATGGAGGGTGATTGAGGTTTGCTGAGCGTGTTAAGTGTGATGAACATTACGGCCATGGGGTGTGATTGAGGTTTGCTGAGCGTGTTAAGTGTGATGAACATTACGGCCATGGAGGGTGCTGCGTCCTGGAACGATTACGGATAGTTGTGGTGTGCAATGCTTGGCAATTCTTTGTCGCTATTTTGCAAAACAGCATCGGCTCCAAAACACACAAATTGTTTCGTCTGTTCCTTAACTTGTGATACCTTCACATGAAACCGTTGTTTCACAACAAATCAAACAAGCATAAATACTGGGCTATGTCTCGCGCTCATGCGAATTTCTGTTCTCTTATACGCTGTGTTTATGCGCTATGCACGTGCAAGAATGATTAACGAGCTCGATTACTTCACGGGCAAGGACATTTACATCAAGCTTGCGGGCTACCCCTCAATACATCTGGCATACAGCATCAAGGACAACGCGTTCCGATTTGTTAACTCGAATCTTAGTCCGTCCATCTTTGCATATGATGACCGTGCACGCATAACCACGAACGGTAACAAATTTGAGCTTGTCATCGGCGGTGTGCAGGCTTGTCTGAAGAAGGACCGCATCGTGCGATGCGATAGCAGTGATTCAAAGACATCCTCGCTCTTTAAAATCACGAAGGATCAGTACGGTTTTGAAATAGCGAACAACGACTCGTGTATCACAAAGGAAATGGACACAAAGACAAACATGAAGAAATGCATGCAGACAGAAGATCAGATGTACGATTTTGAGACGAGCGGATCGCTCGGGTGCAAGGATGCGGAGGAACAGAACGATGTGCGGATGATGAACGTCGAGCGAGCACTCGGCGAGTTAATGCGTGAGATGGCCTGGCGGAACAACGATACGCACTACTCGGACGGCATGCGATACGCGCCATTCTACGATCACGGGCCGAGTACCATGCGGGTGGATAGCTTTGGCGATAAATTGGTGCAGCAGGAGAGTCCACTGCACGGGTACCTGAGTGACAGGTTCATACACGAACGGCCTGTTCACGATGCACCCATCTTCGACACCCATGCAATGCATGAACAGCCGATACACACCACAGAAACGATGGTGCACGAGACAGAAGCTTTCCCGAGATACGTGCAGTCGGAGATGCATGTCGAGCCTGTGCACCACGCGGTTATTCACAGCGAAGAACGGCCAGTGGTGATCGAGAATAGACCGATCGTACAGGACCAGCTACACTCTGAAAAGACGAAGATAGTTCCTGGCAAAACGACCGTAGAGACGAAGACGGTGCCTGTGAAGATGAGGGTCAGAACACAAATGGCGCCAACCACAAAGACAGTGGTGACCGAGACAGTGACAGATCAAGATGTGGTCAATGAGGAAGCCGATGTGAGCTATGACGAGGAGACCGATGTTGAGGATGTAAATTCGCTGTGAGGATTAAATGATTATTTGTTGTAATTCAGCGCTGCTATGCATGGATGTGTGAGTATTTAAATACTTTTTTGCATAAACAGATACGTTCTAGAACAATTATGCATTAATAATCAGCTTAAAGCACCCTTTACAGATTATGCGAACCAACAGAATTACTGCGATATTTCACATCATAGGGACGCAACGGCTGGGTTATCACCAATAAACATCATGATAAACTTTTTCTTGGTGATGAGGCACGTAGCCCAGCGTTATTTAGTTCCAGGAATGGTCAATAAGCTCATTTAATATTTTATTGGTTTATGACAGTGGACCGATTAGTTTAATCTACTTAAAGGAACGTAAACTTGTTTATGCAATGTTTTGCTGTGTTTCATTCCAAAACAAAACGCATCATAAACCAACATGTTGGCAAAGAGTAAGATTGCACTTTGTTACAAAGGAAGAACAACAATATTTAATGTTGCGTTTAAAATATTTTATTATATGAAATGCTGCTTAAATTACTACACGATACCATTGCAAGTATTCCACCCATATCAGCGTTAAACAAGGCATCTTTCACAAGCAATATTAAATTATTGCCCTCTCAAGTCATTTCTCCTCCACACGAACATCAAGTAAAGTGTTTTTTCCTTACAGCAATTTTGCTTTATGTCGGTATAAAGGCTTCAATTTAATAGCATGATTTTTGTACACAAAAAAGCAGATTTGAGCAGTTATTTGTAGTATCCGTCCAAAAGAGAAAAAAGACGGAACAGGTATTTGCCAACAGTCATCCACAAGATTTAACTCAAGCTATCACATTCAACGATTATACAAACTGCTATCTCAAAAATGATCTGAATTGCACACTTAATCGATCCTTCTCATCATTTGATGACATGTCTAAAATCATTTGACAACTCACAAATTTTTTACTGAGGAATTCTAAAAAGTTTATTTGGTGTAGTTAAAACGTATCTGCTATGTTTAATTACTTTATAATATTTTTAAACGGTAGTTTTCTGTTTTGTTTCGTTGTGGCATGATGGTATTTAACCATGACCGCACAATTCTGTGCTAAAAATAAATTTACCAATATTGTTCTATCATACACCAACTCCCGCAATATGAGAATCTAATTAATAAATATTTTTGACTCTCTCAAAAATTTATGACAAAAAGGAGAAGCGTGTTTCTAACTCGTACTGGCACAGCAATACTGATTTGGAAATTTTCATGACCAGAGAAACTGTCTATTGGTAAGG